CTCACCGCGCCTTTACATTTCGTAACAGTATGTTGATTCAAAATACAATGAAAATACGAATATGTTCATAAGAGAGTATAATAAGTAAATGTGGAATAATGTTTTCTGGGATTTTAGATACTTCAGCACCTATGAAAGAATGGATTTTACAAAGGGATTCTTCCAGGTTAATGGAATGCCAAATATATCATAACACTAGCCTGAAGTACCAAGGATTCCCGCAGTATGGGGAGGTTTCCATTTAAAGGGATAGTGACGGTTACTTCGAAATCTCAGGTAGATAGTGAACTTCCCCTTATTTTCGCTGAAGGTAAACTACGCAAAATTTTACCAAATTCCAATAAAACTGTACAACTAACAGGATAACATCTAAAGATTTCAGTAAGAACTCACTTTTGCTTTTTTATGGGTTAAAATCATTTCCCAAGGAAATATTTATCCCCTTTGGCCGACTTCTTCACCGGTTTCGAAGTATTCGAGAAAACTTCATAAAGAGAGCACTTAAACAATACAATATTACATTACAATAATAATAATTAAAATACAATATTTACAAATGAACACTCAGCTCAAACTCGCCGGTTATTTAATAAAAATTAAGAGCACAATGTTTATATGATCAGGATTATCTAGATTTAAGTGAATTCCTGTATATGTAATTTATTTATCCGATTAAGTAAGTTATTTTTAACACATGATTTAACAATTTTCCATATTTTATATTATGCACAATTGCATTATATCCTGTTGTGGATAAAAATAATTCCTAAATAGCATACCGTTATATGCTATCATTGGTTAGCCCACGCAATGCTTTTTCATGTTTTCAGCAGGCAATTTAGTTTTATGCTGATAATTTCGGTTATTGATTTTTTCATCCTCCCGCAATAAATGAGCGTTTGTAAGGCAAAGCCTAGTACATCTACAATCCTGCTAATCAATAACTGATTGTAAAAAAAAGGTGAAAGTAAATTATACGAAATAGTAAACAAGTCATTTTTAATTGTATCAGGAATTTTATCCTGAAAATTTCACAGTTTTACTGATAAGCGGTTTTCAGTTACCATTCTTTCATTTCAAGTTCTTTTCCTTCAAATATTTACGAAGAAATATAATTAGCAAATTTTTTTACCGCGCGTTAACCTTTAAACCAAGCAAGAGAGGTAACCACGAATTAGGGTTCTCACAACACATTTTCGCTATTTACACAATGCTCTGCGTTTGCAAAAGTGTGACGATATTTTCGTCCACAATAATTCTTATACCAAACTTCCAAAAATTTCGTTTTTCCGTCTTTAAGCTTGCTACATTCATACAAAGAGTTCATTAGGCTTAAGGTAAAGCTGGTCAACCGAAACAGGTACTTTATGGGAAACTCGTAACAGTTTTGATGCCAATGCCAATAAATTACGGAGTGAATATGGTTCAAAACCATGTACCTCCAAATCAGAAAAATATCTAAGTAGTGAGCAGAACTGAGAAAATTGCATAATTGGTTATCATGATGCACACTAGATAACAGTTTTGAATGAAAAACTATATTAAAATGTAAACTTAATGAAAGACTTTTCAATTTTGGTATTTAAGATTTTTATATCTATGGGAACAAGACTAAAATTGATGAAACAGAAGTGATATTTTACTTGAAGCTCTGAACAGATTTTCGTGACAAAATATTTACGATATAATACAAAACTTCTAGGATATGGTATTTAAACTCGTACATGATTGAGAATATATTGTTTTGACTGTATACTATAAACCAGAAGCGGGACTTTAGTTGGAATTCTTAACAGTTTTTCGTGGAAATATAAACCTCTGTAAGAAAAGTTTGGCAGGCACATTGTTCAAATTTCCCTGTGATTGTTTCTGTTATATTCAGAATTCAAGCGAGGCCACCAATCACATCGAAAATTCTGACATTCATTTCAAACATGGTTTCGAGTTTAAAAAGTGCTGTTGGAAACAATACCCTTAAAATATGCTGTCGACAATTTAATTTTCATTAAATAAAAACTAATTAAAATCTATATTATTCAATTGCCCAATAAAAAACAATTTTTAATAAAACGAAACAAAGATGCACACATTACACCACGTTGGTATAAATTAAAAAAAAAAAAAAAAAAAAAAAACAGTTTTGACACATGGTTAATTATATCAAATAAAATATAATCCAAAATTACGTATTGCAAATCTTCCTATATATTGAAACAACGAGTTTGATTTTGTTTACAAACGATCAGTCAGAAGTGATGATTTACTTAAAGCTCTTTTCTCTTTAAAAAACGAAATTGGTTGTAGATTATGTGCTGCCCACAACAGATTTTTTCTTTTACAAATAAATCTTCCAATAAGAAAGTAAATTTTATAAAATGTGCATATGCGTGATGAATCAATAACAAAGCGTAAAAAATCTGATATGCACACCACAAAACTACCTTGTACGACTTAATAAATTAAGCACATTTTTTGCCGTACTTTAATAAAACTTATTTTCTTAAATTATTCTAATTTAATTAACTGATTCTGCGAGGCATGTCGAAGATGACATCCAAAATTTCAAATTTTCAAATTAAATATCTCAGACAATTTTTGTCAAATGGGAGTCAAATATCTTCTAATTTTACTTTTTCGTAACGAGTATAAAACTTCCCAAATATACATATAGGAACCGGGACGTTGCATTAAAGGGTAGATTTCGTTATTTGATCCAAAATTATTTTTTAATCCTTAACTGCATGTATTTTTATTTTTAAAGTCAAATATACATTAGCATTGATATAAAATAAAATAGGAAAAATACTAAAACAAAGTCTAAACTAAGTTTTTATTCCAATTTTTGAAAAAAATATTATCTTTTACAGATTAACTTTTAGAAAATATACGATAGGAAAATGTGTAATAATAATTTTACGTAATTATACATACCTCATAAAGTTGTTCAAACAATTTTAAAACTTTGAATACATCAAAGTAACAACAAACAGAAAATCAAAAATTCGCAAACACAAATGATGTCCTCAGCCACATCAACTCACAACAATGACCGTTACACCGTTAGTAGTGCAACCACACTGAAACTTTTAGAACTATATACGTACACCGTTAGTAGTGCAACCACACTGAAACTTTTAGAACTATATACGTACACCGTTAGTAGTGCAACCACACTGAAACTTTTAGAACTATATACGTACACCGTTAGTAGTGCAACCACACTGAAACTTTTAGAACTATATACGTAAACAGTGTGTATCCATTTGATTACACTATGCAGTAAGCTAAAATTTGTGTTTTGATTTACATAACTAAATATGAGAATGTTGTCAAATTTCAATTATATGCATTTAAAGGCTGAATTGCCAAAATATGAAGAACTGCGCCGGTGCTACTTTGGTAGACGGTTGCACGGATTTTTGGCGATTTACTTTGGCGCAATTGTTGGCGCGGTTTTTACAATCGTCAGCCATCTTGAAAAACGCCGTTTTTACGTTATTTTCCGCATAGTAAAGTATTCGAAACTAAAAAAATAATGGATTAATTTTTTTGTTGAAAACGTTGTTTTTTAGGATGGCAAGCAAATGTAAATAAATACGTTTACTACGAGTATAAAATACTAATGAAAGGTTAATTATTACTTTCAATAGCACAGAAATAGAATAAAATACCGCTGTAAGGAACATTGCGCCAACGTTTAATTGGATTAAATATTACGTAAATTGAATATGAATTAAAAACCATCATACCAACGTTTAAAAGAATTAAAATATTACTTAAATTAAATACTTTTAAAATAAGTAAATAAGAACGCTTCGTACACTAGAGCTAAAATGACAGCAATAGTTTATGTCGGTAAAAAAAGGAGGAATGTCTAATACTTTTTTAACCGTTACAGCGATTATTTCTTCCACAGGACCACAATACCATATACGGCGGTCCTCAGAATCGGCTCTTCTAACGATCTTCATCTGTGATCTACATTTTCGCACTTCATTGAAGAAGCAATTAGCGAGGTTTCCTCCAAAATTTAAAATAAATTTCCTCTGACCCTTGTAAGAATTTATAAATAAATCTTTGATTAGGAAAGCCAGGCTGGCTAAAATAAGGTCTCAAAGGACAATTTTTTTATTCCGATACCAATAATCCTTGGTACTTATCAAAAACAACATTCATCTTTGAAGGAGACATTTTTGAAGGAATTCGAAAATATGAATTAAATTTTAAAATGGCGCGGTAATGCACAAATTTTCAGCAACCTATCAGGGAGTTGATTACAGCTCGTTAAGCAAATATTCTATAACCAATCAGAGAGTGATTACATCACGCCTAGAATTAAAATTATCTAAATAATCATACATAATAAAATCTTTTAAAAAAGAATGCAAAATTAATTGTATTTAATATTTAACAGCCATAAATAATGTTTAAAAACATTAGATTAAATTTATAGATTTAAAACCAATTACTTTTAAAGTAAGATGACGTCATTGATTACATCATGCACAGCATAAAATTTCATAAAATATCATAAACAATAAAATTTTATTTCAAATAAAATGCCAAAATTAAATTGATTTTTAATATTTAGAAGCCATAAATAATATTTAAAACACGGAATTTATGCATAATAACACGCATTATTTTTTAAATAAAATGACAACAAAGTATCGGTTACCATAAATAACTTATCCAGCAATGAGTTTACCATAAGTCGTATTACTCGCCAAAAAATCGCCAAAAATCCGTGCAACCGTCTGCCAAAGTAGTACCACTGCGCCATTTAAAACGTCTCTGTAATTGGATGTATATGGCTACGACCAACCATTGCGAAACTAAAAGACAGTTAAGGACTTTTTGTACTGCCGATTGCAATGAAAAAGAAAGACTCACAGCTGGATGTTACAGCAGTTCTATGTATAAACTTTCATCATTCTACGGTTAATCGTTTTTGCATTACTTGCGTGTTAGATGTCATGAAAAATCTATTTTACAACATATTTTGAAATTAAAAGACCTTTATTATGTGCGTACATACCGACATCACACAAAACAACGGTGGAAATGATTCGAGAATAGTCAAAATGAATATTTCCAATGAATTCTGACAAACAAAATTTATCGCGATTGGTATTCTTTCTTTACACTTGGTACAAGAAAGTAAAAAACTTACTTTTAGAAAATCAGTGACATCTTCATTTTAAATTTCAGACTGTAATATAAAGCAAATCTTAAATGAAAATTTTATTAATCTCGATTCACTTTTATAATTCTTGTTTCACAATTTCACAGTTTCCATACAAACTACTCGCAAGATGTTACGAATTGCCCTCAGAAATTTGCTTAAATTAGGTAACACCACAGCTAAATGTAACAATCAGAATTCTTAATGAAATGCATTCTGTTTTAGTTTATAAAGTTTTCTGCGATGGACGTCAGAACTTCTATAGCTAAAAATGAATGCTCTTTGGTGAATGTCTTCCACTCTTCCGTGTTTTTCATATCACGAAAGTTTAAAAAAATGTAATTGTTTGAGACCTTTTTCAACTCCTCGTCCTGATGCAAATCGGCAAACAGCAGCATCTCAAAAACTGTATAACTGGAGATAGACAAAAGAAGAAATCTTTGGCACAGAGCTTTCAGATCTAACACGGAGTACTTATCCGCTGCACAGTACAGGTCTCTTGCCATGGATAAAGTCATTTCGTGAATGCGGTTTGTATACAGGAAGAATATCAATTCCTCCATGACTCCAACATTCACGTCGGTGATAACCATTTTGTTCTCTATGTTTTCCTTGGTGTCATGCCGGAAAATGCTAGAAAACACTGGAGATCGAGCTGAGAGAATAAACTTATGAGCACGAATTTGCACAGAATTGCACTCGAGCAAGAAGTCCGCTTGCTCGCGTTTTTCATACAGAGTTTGTATATCGCGTGATAGGCTGCAAAAGGCATTAATATCAGAACCAATGTTGCATACTGCATATAATTTATCTGAGTCTCGAGAAGTACGGATTACAATATCGGTTTGCACGGAACTTTCCTTTGAAGCATAGCATTCAACAGAAGCATTGATAAAAATCTGGTGTATGTAATTATAACGGAGAGGAACTTTTATATAAGAACGACCCCAATTTAAACACTCATCCAGAATTTTTCTGTCGTTTGAACAAATTTCAATAGTGCCCTTTACCTTTATCTTCCCTTTATCGGGTACTCTATAAAGTACTAAATATACACCATCCTTTTCTCCTTGTTTGATTATCATCAGATACCACACTTGATTATCAGGTCCGAAATTACTGCTGAGTAGGACTTCATTCTCAGAATCACAAGATTGATACACAGGCCATTTGTGGTACAAATAATATCGCTCCATATTCACTCAATATCCACTTTTTAAGGTCAGCTGCGATCTGAATCGACAAATTGATTTAAAGCTTTTGAGACGTGATATCTTTCTAATGTGAAAGCGGATATGAAAAAGATAAATAACAAGTTACACGATAAGACACATTTATCAACAGAATCTCTGATAAATATCCGAGATACACCAGTATATATAACCGATACTTCAAACGTTTCGTCGATTATATGTGGCGTCATAACTAGAAGCTGGTATCTGTAACAAGGTAGATAAGTCACGTTGTTATTTTTCTTAGTATTTTAATCGGTTTATTTTTCGAACTTATCTTCAAATCTGCAAATAGGCGAGTTACTTAAAAATGTCAAAAACCAATGCTTGGCATCAATTATCAAGTAATAAAATGTCCTTTCAATCAAAATCCTTAAAATATCATTGAGAATGTTCTTAAGCCCGAAGCCTTTGTTTTACTTTACCCACATGCTACAAAACGGCATGCTAAATACAGAAATATTATTGATTGAGTACAGTTAAAATTACAAAAAAATTTTAAATAACTCAAAGGTGCGTGTTTTTGTACAAAGGATGTTTACACATTTTTAGAACAGGACCGTTTAATTTTTAGTCTGAAGGGTAAATTTGTCTAGAAGGACTAATTTCGTTTTGGCATTTTGCGATGATTCACTTTTCAGATTGTTGCCTCCAAATATCATTGCCCTGTATTATATTTAAAGAAATTAAATAATGAAGAATCTGCATCAATGTATGTATATTTCTCGCATTGTGATAAAACAACGGTATATAGAGCCATCCAGTTTTGAATGACGTAATCCTACTGCGAATATGGGCATCTGGAAGCCCAAATTTGAAATTTGGAATTTATTATCTATTTCATATCTTGTAAAACTTTAACGAATTTTTGATTAGCAAACTCCAGGATTTCAAAGCGAGCAATAGCAATACTGTGCGGTTATATATATATAATATTTAAAAAAAAAAAATTATCTCCAGCGCGCGAGACTGTGTAACAGAAATTCTTATTTTGCGATATTGCTGTTGAACTGAATTTTATGGTTTAAGTGCAGAGAACACTTAATAAATAAAGTTATTTAATAAATAAGATATATAACACACAAAATGTTAAAAGAAATGCTCCTTTGGGCGTAATGTAAAATGTGAAAGCTTTCAGATTTTTTTTAATATTAAGTTTAAAATGTAAAAAGTATTTTTAAATGCTCCATCTAATAACATTTGTTCTGAACTATAAGTCTACATCGTGATTTCCATGATAGAAAGGCTTTTCGTAAAACTTTCAGAGAGACTGTTTTCCATTTCTCATCTGCTACTTTCTAGAGTCCATCCATTATGGTGGGTTTGCGCTAAAAAAAGAGCTTTTTTCATGAACATAAACCAGAAGCATAAACGTCAAGGAGCTTCGCAGAAATGCGTTGAAAAAGTGTGTATGCAATACCTGTATCGATTTTCATTCTTTCAAAACCTGCAGTGGTAGCTTTCGAAGTATGACTTGTCTTCATGAAATTTCACTCTTGGAAAGTCATTGGGATAAAGAAATAGAATTTTTTCTGTAAATATCGAACGTAAAATTTGCTGTGGAAAATACGTTAAACTGATTAGAACATTTTTTCCCCCTCTCTTTCTCTCTTTTTTTTTTTTTTTTCTTTTTACTTCCTTGTACGAAGTAAAAAGAGGAAGTATTGTAATCGCGAAAAGTTTCAGGCAGCATATTTCAACGAAAATATCCGTTTTGACCGCTATCGAATGCAATTTAACGACGTTTTTGCGTGATATCTGCACGTAAGGACAGACTAAAAGACTCGTTTCCTCCAAAAAAATTATTAAACTGCTTTAAAATGAATTCTGAAGAGAATTTTTCATGGCGTCTGTACGAACATATGTATGTACGTACGTGCGTACATACGTATCTCGCATAACTCAAAAACGAGTAGCCTTAGAACGTTGAAATTTTGTATATGTGACTGCTATAACATGTAGATGTGCACCTCGTATTTTGTTTGCGATCGGCCGCACCAAACGTATATAAATATATTTATATATACATCCACTCTGTCACCCGGCTCAGTGATCTCAATTTCTTTACTCTTATATGTTTGTAAATTGTACATTTTTTGCTTTAAAAATGATTTAATTATGTTGTTTTTATCTTCCGGTTAAGGTTTTTGTGCCTTTAGTAAATCTGTATGCAGTATTTTTAAAATTATCAACAATTTTATAGTTGTTTAAGTGCCGCTAAGCCCTTTTCTTTTATGGCGGCCATTGATTGTTTACATTTGAAACAGCAGACTGGTGGATTTGTTGCCAATCTAGAGAAATTTAGCTTCGCAACAACAAAAATAACGACTTCATTTATTATTGCTAATTAAATCATGCTTAATCCTTTCTGGAATTTTTTCGAGGAAATAAGTGTTTAAGATTTACTTCGTAATTTTTAATAGAGATATTTTGATATATTATATATCAAAATAGATAGATAGATATTTTGATTAGATATTTTGAGATAGTATTATATATACTATATATATAATAGATATTTTGAGTTTTTATGTATTTTTGCCTTCTCACGAAGTGAGTACTGAATTAATTCAATGAGAAATACTCAATCGTCTGTGAAAAACTGTTTCTTTTTTGTTTTGTTTGCTTAATTTCTTTTATACATCGTTCTAGCTTTATTATAGTATGTGGCAACGATTAGATAATTCTATTCTTTAAATGATATAAATTTTCCTTACGGACTGGAGGAAACAGCGTTCGCCAAAGTCCTCACCTCCTTTCTTCTTGCTCAAAGCAAGATTGCTACAGAATATAAATTTTGTGCATTATGAGTTATAATATGAACGAAATATAATACTGTTAAGTGAATCTAGCTCCAGAGTGTCTCTATGGTAAACAAATACTAGAGTGAAATTTTAAAGAATGCATTTATTCTATTGTGGATTATGCGCTGTCGGCGAAGTAAATTTAATTCAATCCAATAAGTTTAAATGAAATGCAAGAAAAAATGCGTGTAATTTAATATTCCGTACAAGGAAGTCATGTGGTGTACACATGAGATTTTTTAAAAAATTTTCCTTTGTAATAATATTCTATAACAATCTAAAACCCTTTTTGAAACTTTCTTTGCGTCTGCACTTTTTCCCTCTTCGTTTTGAATACAGAAAGAGACTTTTTGTTACAATCATTATGTAAACCCAAGCTAGTTTGACGTCACAATGTATTTTTATTCATTTCCTGCTGGATAGTTTTCATATGCTGTTCTACATATTGTTCTGCGTTGAGCCACTTGTCTCGGCAAAAGATGGTGATCATTATGATCTTAGCTTTTTTTAGTAAACACCTGGGTTTATTATTTTATTTATTATCGCTACTGTTGCAGTTAAAAGCTTTGTAGTTGATTTCTGCATCAGATCACTTTTTTTTTTTCCCGACAATTTGACTTCAGAAATGTTAGAAACAGAAACTTTTTCTAGTATTCGTTTGAGGTCTTCTTTTCATGTAAAAGTAATAAATGATGGTTTTTCTCTTTCCGATTAATAATGCTGCTCATTTTGCACTTCAAGAATTATTGAAGAAGAGATATTATTGAAGTTTTAAGAATGAAGAAGTGAAGCTTGATGTATTGAAAACTGAAGACCTGAAAATTGAAGAAGACAATTATTATAAAAGAAAAATTATTGAAGGAGAGAAATTGTTTGATTTTTTCAAGGATTATTTAATTGTTTGAAGAGGATTACTTAATCTCTGGAGGAGAATTATTTTATCTTTGAAGGAGAATTATTTAATCTTCCGAAGAAAATTATTTAATCCTTATATGGATTGAATCATAACAGCACCTGAGCTGTTCAGCTAGGCGTAAAAACAACGAAGCGCAACTTGGATACGAGTAAGTTTCCTGTAGAAATTCCTCCCTGAAGGAATCTATGCCTCTAGATACATAGCTGTGGATTTCTTTGTTTCATTCCACTAAAAAATTAATTAAATTCCACTTTGATTATGCATAAGGTCTATAAACTTAGATGTAAATGTGCACCTCCTATTTTGGTTGCAATTGGCCGCTCCAAAAGTATATACATATATATATCCACTCTGTTACTCAGCTAAGTGATCTCAGTATATTTATTCTTATATGTTTTTAGTTGTGCCTTTTTTGCTTTGAAAATGATTGAATTATGTTGTTCTTATCTTCTGGTTAAGGTTTTTGTGAAATTTGCCTGCAATATTTGTAGAATTATCAACAATTTAAAAGTTTTTAAATGCGGCTAAGCCTAATTATGTTTGTCAAAGCAGCCATATTTGTTTACATTTTTAGCTTAGCAGACTAGTGGATTTGTTGCAAATCAAGAGACTTCAAAATTTGCAACAACAGAGATAAGAATTGTTAGCATTACATTTAGCAAACGTAAACTGCTACAGATTCTTCTTTATACATTCTTAGATAATCGATGCATTTTAGCATGGTTACACAGAACTGGTAGCTTTGCTGTTAAACTTGTAGGGTTTATATTTATTTTAACTAACATTTATTTTAAGTTTAAACTATCTTTCCTGTCAAGCCTTACTTTCCCCTGGAACTGCCAATGCCAGAATATGTAAATTTTAGTAGAACGCGCAAGCATTCAAATTATCAGCGGAAGTATTATGAGTTAAATAGAAAGGAAACAAGTTCGGTGAGTGAGATTCTTACTTCACGAGCGCGGAGGTAGTTAGCGAGAAATTGAAGAACCCCGCGTTTCGGCCTATGTGCTTGGCGGGAAGTAGTGGTAATCGTTCCAGTGAGCTTCAAGTCTGCTGAATTAGCTGCGGTATTTGTAAAACGCGGTGAAGTTAGTTATTTTAGAGAAGCCTCGTAGTTAGAATCTTGTCTTTATTTTCTTTTCAGGTTATTATTTTTTATTTGACCGCCAGTAGGCGCAGTCTGTGAGCGTCAAGAGCACGCAATTGTAATTTATTACGTTGAATAACCCTTCACAAGATTCTGTATTTTATCCAGTTGTCACAGTCACCTCTTGGTTGCGTGCAAGTTGGAGGCGCGCAACGTTATAAACTGAATACACCAAGACTAT